CATAATTCATTTACATCAATGAAGTGCAACAGTCTGTCAGGGCAGAGTTTCATGGCAGAACCTAAGACAGAATACAGAATTTCAAGCCCCTCCACCATCTGGCTTTGAGCCCTAAAGATAAGAAATGAGAAGTATTGATTGTTTTCTTTCTCTTGGCTAGAAATGCTGCTTAGGAGTCACAGACTTTCAGGAGAGATTTGTAACTAGCATACTTCCATGAGGAAAGGTTCTGAGAAGTCAGCATTTTTGACCAACCAGCCAAACAACAAAAAAATTCCCTACAACCTGCCAAAACACCATTGGAAGAAGCTTGGTGAGCTATGAAGAGGATGTTAGAGCAGTTAAAACACTCCTGGTGCCCAAGGAACACATTGCTACAATAGTCTGTACACAGGAATATAGCAGGTTCTCCAACCCACTCCTCAAAAAGTAACCCCAAATCCCACAAAACAACCAACTCTTACTGCTGTGCCAATGTCATGATTACTATATATATATATAAAGAAAACCAAATCTGTAATCACACATTACTGCTCAAGGACTCCATACCTCTCAGAAAGCTTCAGGTCTACACAAAATACCCCAGTTACAACAGCAAGTCTTACTTTAATTCTGTCATTTCAGGATGACAAGAAGCTGAAGAATTTCTCTTTACAGAGATCACTAATTTCAAAGAGAAATAAAAGGTAGTGTTGGTTCAATATCCAGGCAAATTTTTGCTAAGCCAGATTTATTAAGCCTCTAAATATCAGAATTGCCAAGTACCCATCATGAATCAAAAGCACCACGGTCTGTTTCTGTACGACAGTTTAAGGCCCATCTTCTCTTAGCCAGAGATAGGTATTTTAGTTCACTATTATTTCTTGAAGTGATAGACTTGCTATCCAAACACAACCCAAACTGTATACTCTTGGCCTCTAAGGCTGAAATTATTTACCAGTTGTGAAGCCAGGTTGACTATTTATACTCATTGACAGATATCCCCTGGTCTTCTCCAACTGTTTGACCCTTCAGATTTGGGAGTCTGTGAAAGCTAAACTCAGTCATGCACAATGCTGCCAGAAGTATTTGCACACAGGTTTGTGCCACACTACCACTCATCTCCATGCTACCACTGATCTATTTCTGAATTCTTCCACCTGGCAACGCGTTCTTGAAAGTCTGAAACATGGACAGTGTAGTCCAATAGTCTAAGTTGCTTCAACAGGCATCTGAACTGCAAGGCACCAAGCACCTTCTCTCCAGCCAGCACTGCATGCTGGACACCAGCACCATGTGAGTGCATAAGGAGACACATGAAAATTCTAGCCAGAGATGTCAGATGCAGTTGTGAGGATTTTTACAAGCCATACACTGTGACCAGAATCCCACAAATGGAATTCATTTTACTGAGACTCAGAGCTGGCTATTATTCCCCTGCTTTTAGAGTGTTGGATTTTTTTTTTCAGACAGTATAAAGCACCACTCAAATCTAAGAGGGAAGGACAAATGGACAGACAGAGGTTTTATAATTCAGATCAGTATTATTCACGTTACTGCTTATTCTGATCTTAACATTCACCAAAATACTAGATCAGTGGGTCAGGAAAGATGAAGACAAGACTGGAAAAAAGAAGAGTCAAAGGAGTACAAACAGAATGGACAGTCTGCCACTCAGAGGTACAGGAGCACCATTCCAAATCATGAACTAAGCCAGTATATATTAATAAAAACCACTTCTGGGGTTACTGGAATCCTGATACCCATTATCCATCTGGGAAATGAAGTATCACAAGCATTGGCTGTGAAACAATGAAGACTTTTCTTTGGCTTTCTTTTTACAGCTTTTTGGAGCTGTAGTCCAAGAACTCAGCCTCACTACACTTGAGCCGTTAGACACAGCCAGACTTCTTAAAAGTATGGCAAGTGTATAACCTGTATAAAATGACTGCTCACTCTAAACCTTCTCATGTTTGTCATCTAGGTGAGATTACAAGTATCTTTATACAATGTTTTAAGCATATAACTAAGAATATGTAGCATACAGTTAACCCTTATTCAGCAAATGCTGATCATATTGAGTCACATGAACAAGGACCTGAACAATTGGAATTTTGTATTTTCAAATTTCTGTATGATAACTAGAGGCAGAAACAATTCTATTTCAGGTCATCATAAAATCAAGAAGTGTCATACAGTATTCAGTTTACAACTGATCTGAAGCTTTTTTAATATATCAACATTAGCTCACCTCTCCAAGAGGAACACACTTGTCAATTATCCTGACAGACCAAAAAGTTATATGGGATGAAAATTCTTTTAGAAGAGGAAACTTTATTCTAGCAGACAAATTCAACAACTGGTTACCTGAAGCTGGACAAAAAAGCCAAGTAAATATAAAGTATGTATTTAAATTGTAATGGTAGGGTATTTTGGGGAATCTGATTATGGAGAACAGATTTTTATAGTGGCGACTCTTTCTGTACTTGGACCTGAACATGGGACTAGTGTTTTTGCTCTGCTACCTTTTGTGGTTCTTCATTAAGACTAATCCCAGAGGAAGTAACATAAATTCCTGCAACTCTGACCTAAAGTTAGTTCTCAATGTTTGACAGCTTGGCTGAGCAGTCCATTCATTTAGATTGGTCATGCTGGCAAATCAGAGGGGAGTAGAACAAACTTAGAACTCACTTCTCACTACTACACATCTAGAAAGAGAATCTCCAAGCATGTTAAACAGTGGTTGAAATGGATGAGGGACAGAGGGGTAAGGTGTGCCAGAGGGCACTGGGTAGGAGACAGGAGCAGCACAGCATGTTGTTCTGATCATCCTTTAACTAGAGGATCAGCACCAGCCAGCAATAAGCAAAGACGTTTAGGGAGCCGGGTGCTGGGCCAGTGTCTGATTCCACTGCCATTTGTCCTAGAAGAGCTCAACTAGAAACTCAGAGCACCCACAGAAGACTGCAGTTCTTGGAAACACATGAAAGCTGCCAGCAAGCCTAAGAACTCTGCACTGACTATGGGCAATTCACTCTGTGATGCCATTTTCAGGCTAAGTAACAAAGTCAAGAAGAGAAGGACTGCCAAAAGGCTCCAGCCTACTCGCTTAAAGGGACACTCCAGAGTGCACAGGGTCCCCTAAGACTAGTCCAGAAGCTGGCTATCTTCTGGTGGAAATAAAAAGCTGTGATAATGGTAAACTGCTTAGTGAAGCCTACAGAAAAGATGTTGGAAACCAAGACTCAGTATTTTTTAAAGACAGTCTGTAGTTCAGAAGCATTTATGAATCTGCTGGAAAATCCAGGGCGTCACCTGTGTAAAGGAAGTGTGGTTATACCACCGCAGCAGCTTTAAGCTAGGGCTAGAAACTTTGAAAGAAGGAGGAAAGCTTTGTTGCTTTCTTATGCTTTGAAGTTACTACCTGATTTAGAGACATTTACACTGAAAAAAATCCCTCTGATAAGGGTGAGAAAATCTCATCTGAAATCCTGCAGTAGAGCAGGGTTAGATAGAGCCCAGCCCTGAGTTAATGATCATCTAGTTTGTGTACAAAAATCTATAGAGAAGGAGATTCCATCACTTTAAGGGTAGGGCAGGTCTTGTTCATCTGTGAATGTTTCATCAATATATTTGGTAGGACTGGATTCTTAATCTGCATAATCTTTAGCTAGAGTGAGTATTCATTGAAAAATGAAGTTAAAGACAGCATATAATAACTTAACATCCAAGATCAGATTTAACATCTAAGAACAGATTGTAACCAAGCACCAGAACAATCTGACAGCAAAAGCAAGGCAAAGAAACATGAACAACTTTATATACACACACAAAGTATCATAACTGGTTGGAAATAGAAACCAACTTTCAGGGGCTATGAGCACCTCCAAATGTATTTTTGTTTCAACAGGAATTGTGCACTTAAATTACTGATGCCATGCAAACACCTCTATCCAAAAGTTCATTGGTTCCTCATCTTAAACTGTCCTCCCCCCATCTCCCAATAACTGCAAATACTACAAAGAGCTTCTGTTTCTCCACATTTAACCAATCTTCCTGTTATAAAAAAAACCAAACATGAAGTACCACCAAGTGAATACAGAATTTAAGAGCTGAAAGAATATTAATTTTCTTAAGAAACTCAGAAATGTGATACAAAAGAAACAAGACTGATCCCACACATAAAATTACATGTTGACATTATGTTTAACTATATATTAAAGACACAGATGAAGTCTAGTATGTAATCATGTTAAAAATAAGTATCATGAAAGCTTTACTATGAAAATTATGTGAAATTTGGTGAAGTTTAACAAATTTCATAACTTTAGCTACTGTGGAAATACTAGTTTACTTGAAATGCATTCAGAATTTCAAACTCCTGAAATGCAAGACTTTTAAACCTTAAGTAGTCTACAATAGCTGTTCTCTGAAATGACATATTACCCTCCATAACAAAGAAAAACTTCTCCACCTTTTCTTTTTTTTTTCCCCATAAAGAAAGAATGAGAAATGCTCCCACAACAAAGTTAATTTACAATTTTTAAAGGTTAGTACAGACAAAGCCATACATTCCTTTCTTCCTTTGTGACTATGCTATATATTTTAATCAAGACTGTGCCTAAATTCAGAGAATGCTTGATGTTTTAACTGCACAAGCATTAAATGTTGTCACATTTATCACCAAGGAGCCTGATGGCATCCTTCAATGGCATCGACCTTCACATCATGAAAAGGGAACACAGTCGATCAGCTGCACTCAGATTGTCACTTGCTCACACCATGATTTAATGGCATTTAACCTGGAATCCAGTAAGAACTCACCCTGACCTTTCACATTTTGCCAAAAAGCTTTTCTACACTTTTACACCAACCAAGAGACAAACAGGATGAACGGCCCTTCAGTTCTTTCAGTCACTATTAAAAGCAGTTTTTCTTTAAATTGATAGTTTAATAGTTATGCTAAGTACAGCTTATGCCACATTTCTTGCTTGTAGTTCAATGTAAAGCTTCTTGGTACCTCAGTCATCATCTTGCTGGTTTCTTTTCTGTCAAGGGAACAGGAGAGTTCATAATGTTAGCACACACTTACCTGAAGTAAGAGCACTAATAAATAATGACAAGTGTTTTCAGATACAATGGGTATTAGACAATGGCAGCATTTCTAAGCCGTTTTTGAATTGTAAGAGATAATGGTGACAGCAAATAAAACAGAGCAATATGAATCCTCTCCCCCTCCCAAATGATAGGATTTCCAGTAAAGAACAGGATTTGCCCATATATACAAGAACCAGAAAACACGGTGGTGGTGGCAGAAGTCAGTGGTCAAGATGAAGGCAAGCTGCCCTCTCTCCCTAGCTTACAAGGATGTCACGTTTTCATGTCACTGTTCAAAGGAACTGAGAAATTGTGCTGGAAAAAGAACAAGTGTTTAAGGTTTTTCCTAATATACTTATCTTGTAACTTTTAAAAAAGTTCTTAAAAGCATTAGTTTCAGCCATTCAAAAAACTACATTTCCATTTATACTACATTACCATTTACATTTAAATAAGAAAGAAAACAGACTCTTCAGTAAGATTTGTCAGAATACCTTAACTGCTTCCCATAAAATTAATTACCTGAAGTGAGATCAGTATGAGGCTTGCTCTTCACCAATTAGTAAAAAAAGCAGCCCAACAATACCTTGTATGATGGCTTCATACATTACCTTTTCCCTAATCATGCAACCTGTGTTAATTACAACAGCACAACTACAGACATTTTGATGTTGCCATTTCACAAAGATAGGAGGTCAGAATTATTTTTTTTTCCACTGCTTCTTACCAGTTTAAGAAAGTCAATTAATTTGTGAACATCTTCTCCTGTAGAGAGGTCCACAAAATCTTTCGGCAGGCGGTAACTCAGGTATGGACTGGGCTGGACAGTAACTTTACTGTTTGTACAACGGAAAACGGGGTAGTCCTTTGGAAAAGACAAGAACAGTGGATGTGAACAAAGCCAGCAATGTTTCTTGAACTCCTACATGAGACTGAGTCACTTTGCTAATGAGTTTATTCAGCACTAATTCAACTCAACCTGCACTTTCTAAAAACCAGTAGTTTTCTTACTAAAAACTCTGCCCACTGAAGAGCAAAAAGTTAAAATGTTTACAACAGTCAAAAGCATTCATTCCCTCACTTCCAAGTTTCTACAGTGTATCAGTTATTAACACATTTAATACACTTACACCTATAACAGTGCTGTAATAATGGAGCTATAAAGAGCTGTGAGCAATAGCATCTGCATGATGGGGATAAAGAAAATCTTTACGATATAATCTCTGAATTTGTCTTCACAAGTTCCTAGTTTAAACCCATATTTGCAAATACAACCTTACTGAGATTATGATCTAAGCTGTCCAACCAATTTACTTACTGAAGAAAAGTAATATCCAAAAATATCTCTAAATGCTCAATTATAGCAACAGGTTTTGGTTAACATGATAGAATTTTCAGTTCAAAACATTGACATGCAACATAATTGCCCAGTGTATGGCAATAAACAGCTTCATTTTAAAGACAGAAGTCCTGTAACTTCACAGCAGGTTGGGTGCTTGGATGTAAGCTGAAGCAGGAAGACAAGTCATTCCACTTTTCATCCAGACTTACACCAAAGAAAATGATGTAAAGCTCCTGGCACTGAAAAAAAAAGAAAGCCTCAAAACAAAACCCAGGTGCCCCACGGACAGCTCAAGAACCAGGAGTGTGTTTTAACAAAGGAGACACAGCTTTTAGCAGGAAGGTTCATTAAATGGGTTTTCATACAGCAACAGCCACATAGGGAGACTAAGGGGAAATGGCCTGAAGGAAACCCTGCAGAGTGATCTCCTTTTCAACGTGCTATGAAAGTGGCCACAGAAGTACAGCAAAGCTCAGGTGCTAACATCAGCTCAGTAAAGCATGTCATTTTGGTGCTCTCTAATGCAGTTCAACAGCTAGAAAACAAAGAAAAGCCCACACTATCTGACTAGCCATCTCTCCTCAGACAACCACGGAGTGTTTCCCAAAAATCAAGCAATAACCTGCTACTTTATATCTTCTATCCAGCTGTCCAAGGTCTCATTAGATGTGAGGACTCAGCCTCAAGCACGCAGTGAGAAAAAAGGTGGAGTAGAAATAAATGAAGACTATTCCTGCATCTCTGGATTAAGAGGGAGCTATTTGTTTTTAGGGAGGCACTGCAGCTTGGAAGAGGGACAGAGAAGCCCTGCTCTGCAAGGCCAGGGAGTTCAACCAGAGGACAAAGCTTCCCTGAGGGTATTCAACATGAGGAAGAAACAGCAGTTAAGCTTCTTTTTGCCTACCCCTAAGCATAAATCTGGAGCTCTGGGAAACTGTGTGCCAGATAAAAGTGATGAAATAGAAAAGTAACAGATTTTAAGCAAAATTGAAAGAAGTGCATCAAAACTGCAAAAAAGCATGTTTCAGGGCATCTTCTTCATAACGTGGTCAAAGCTGCAACATGGCCTTGTACTGTTTGAACTAAACATTTCCTTGCAGGCATCTAAACCTAGCATGCAATATCAGACAGTAATCTCCACAAGTAAGGTAGATACTATTCACAGAGTTCACATTTCATATGAGCTAAGGGCCTCCATTTACTTTGACGGGATTTGCATCACAACTTGATTATAACACAGAAAGAAAGCAAAAAAGAGACAGTAATTCCTGTTGGATTTGTTAGCCAGCCCCCCTCACCACAGGGCTGTACCTGTTCTGTGGCTTCTCCTTCACCCTGGTCTCCTTTCAAGTCTTTGCCAGAGGTCAGTTCTTCCCACGTAAAGAGCAGGGAGTCTGTTACTTCACCAAATGGATTAAAGTCTATTAACCAAATCCTACCCTGCAATAGAACAACAGAAAAATTAAAACAAGACACAGAATTAAAACAAAGGGGGGGAGGGGAAATCAGAAGACACATGTATTAGCATGCTTGGTCTTTAGACAGAAAGATGCCAAAATTGAAATCACTTAGTTTTAGGCACTTAAAATAGTCTAACATTCTTTATATTGGACACAGTTTTAAAACACAGCAAGCTATGACTTCCTAATTATTTTTTTTTTTTTTTTGTTAAACAAGATCAGATAGGGCTCAAAAAAAATGAATTTAGTTCTATGCAAGGTGCTTTTCATATGAGACCACAGTAATTCTGTCTAATCCCCATGGTCCTCCAACATCCTCAGAGACCATGAACAATGAATGAAAAAGAAAAACCACAAAACCCCTCAAATCAAAAAAAAAACCACCCAAGCAGATGTTTGGCTTTCCATCAAAAGCCACCTCAGCACTGGTGGACATTCAGCAGTCTACAAGACCTGCTGTTCTTGGTCTCAGAATGGACCCTAAAAATGCAGAGCAGGGTCTGTAAAACACTAGTGGAGATCATAAAAGCTGAAAAGTGCTGCACAGATACTGATAAAAGACATTTTTAATACAGCCATTATTAGTAGTTCAGACTAGCTTCTCTTGCCTCCTCTTTAATAGATTTGTGTTCCAAATAGTCCTAACAGTACACACCACAGCACGTTTTACAACTGAAAAATGAACATTTTCAGTTCAAATGAACAAAACATTTCAATACATTGTAATGAAGCTCAATGATCTTAGTCTTTTCAATGATGCTGACTCTATGAAGTATGATGACTACAACTGCTAGTAAGGACTCTGCAAAACAAGTATTGCATCTGGGAGAAATCAAATCAGCAAATATGATAAAGAAAAAGTTGCTGTAACTTAAGTGAGACTGAAAGGTTTTAATGTGTTTATTAAAGATCAAGTGGAATTGGAAACCAAATCTGAAGACTGTATCTACTAAACCACTTATTTGGCTTTCTCTCTCTCTCATTCCTCAAAGATCTTTCTTTAACAGATTTTCCCTACCTTGATACTAACAGCAAATACATTCAATGTTTTACACTACAGTCATCTGGTTTCTAACTGACAAAATACTTTTGAAGCCTTCACTCACGGAGTAACATGGAGACTTCCTCTCCCACCCACACTGCCCAAGCCACCCCCACAGGCACCAAGGCACTAGAGCCCATGTGATGGGAGACCAGAAAAGCTCTGGCTGGTCTGTTACCATCCACAGTGAGTTACTCATGCAGGTGGGGGGAGGCCCAGCACAGACAAAACCAGGGATATTACTTGTAAACTAGAACTGAACCAGCACCCCAACTGGTGAGTGCGTGGTTGCATGCAGGCAGATCCATGGGGTGCAGCTCTCACAGAGCCAATTTTAAGAAGCCAATGCACTTCAAGAGCAGTCCTGAAACCAGACAGCTACAAGAGAAACTGTGAATTGTGGGGGGACACAGACCCAAGTGGTTTCTCATTTGTTTCAGAAGGGTGAAGCAACACAAATCTGCATGGCTAAGCTGCAACACCTCTGCAAGAATATTGACACCCAGGGTGCAAAGAGCGACCCGGAGTGAGCTCTGCTATCATTTTCCATCTCGGTTCCTCTTCAAAAGACAGTCACAAATTCTCATTATAAGTGATGTTTTACTTTTGCTAACGGGGACATCTTGTTAGCTCCAAGGCAGCAGGAGGAGGAATCTTTAATTTTAGACTCATTCTATCACACTAGAAAAACAAGCTAATGAACCAATTTAATCAGACAGAAGCAACGGCTGGCAAAGTTCATTCAGCAGTTCAGAGAATCTTTCCTTGCATCAGAAATGTTTATACTTGGTAAAGGACTTCCCTATTAAAGGCTTCACACAGACTCCTCCTCACCCCAAATACATGAAACTCAGTTTTTTTCAGAGGAACTCCAGATCATTTCTCTGGAGAAGAAATGTACTCTGGACAAAAAATGAAAATTGGTTTTGAGACTACTGAAAGCAACTCCTGTTTTTTGTGAGCACCCAAGAGTGTGTCTCCCTCCTTTGCAGACAGCAGTACATCTACAACACCAACTGTTTCCTTGAGATGACCTTAAATGTGCACTGAGCTTTGGTAGCTGCAAACTGATGAGAAACAGCGAAACAAACTAAATATCCTTTTTCAGAGCTCCTTTAAGAGACTGAGTGTATGTAACTCTGGGTCAGTAACCAAACAGTCTTTTCTTAAGATTAAATGCTCTTTCAAGTCTTACATGCAACGTCATGATTTAAATGTAGTTTCACAAGACTTGCAGTGTGTATCTAGTAGTAAAGCTATTTATCTGCTGTCTTCTGGTATTAGTAATCTTTGTCATATGAGAGCACAGAAATGAACAAGCCAGGAAAGCAAAACTGCTTATCTGGAAGGGAAAAAAAAAAAAGCCCAACCTCTATTACATAAGATTTTTTTTTCTTATCCTAAAACCAGAACCAATAGATTCAGCTTATCATGTTAGCTTCACACTTGGTTTTATTAAAGCATTAAGCAACACACTGCTGGAAGGAAGTACCTACGACAAAGGCCATTTAAAGGAAGTTAAAAGATAGATAAAACACAAGCTGAACTGCTCCATCTCCCTAACTCCAGCTGCACCTTCATGCATAGGGCCAACACTCAAGGCAGAGACACAAGCACTAGACCAGCTGTGAGCTAGCAGCAGTCTGCAGTCACTCACTGCACTACTTGGTCTTACCACAGTGACTTGCCTTGGACATGGTTATGAGCTGTTCACACCTGGGACATGCTCAAAAAGCCACAGCAGAGCTCATTCTCAATCAACAGCTGATGCACAACAATTGTGAACTTGCTAGCAGAAAAAAACAAACACCCCAAAGTGGATTGAAATGCCAACAGGCTACCAGTCTATTGGTCCTGCACTGTATCACCTCTTCAGGACCAGGTCTCCAGATCATGCAGTTTGGACGACTGTATGGCAGCATTTCTTCCTCAAAAGATGGCTTGTCTGCAAAGTCAGGGACTAGCTCAGATGAGCTCGGTAAGAGAGTGTCCCAGGAGAGGCAGCCACATAAAAGCTTGTTCTCAGCCAGACCACCACTGCTTCTGTGCCACCTCCCAATTCCACCAGCAGGACCCGGGGCAGTGTGCTCCATGCAGCCACCCCAGTGACCAAAGCAAGCACGGGGAAAGGGCTGCTCTCACTCACAACCACATCAAAGAACAAGCTCCTCCAAGCTGAATATTTAGAGCTTAAAATAAGCGGACACTGGGCATTTTCCCTCCTCCTGTAGGTGAGGTTGCTGTGCAACCAGCCTGCTGAGGAGCACGGGCTCTGGAAATTAATCATCCTCGGCAGCACTCACTATTCTTCTGCGGCCTGTAACTCACAAACAAGGGGAGCAAGGAATAACAGAGTTGCAAACCACAGAGGCGTGGTGAAAGGAGGAGGATCTGACACACCAGGGCCTATCTGGCAGTTTACAAGACCTGAGGGTAGAAGGCACAGAGAGATATCTACAAACAGATATATTTTATCTTGACAGATGAAGAAACACTGCTCATTTGAGATCACACAGGCTGAAACCTACTGAAATAATCTGTCTTCATGCCTCAGCTGTGAGGCAGAGTACCTCTCCTGGTTTCAGTTTCTTCCTAGTAGCTGGCAGAGTGATGTGTTTTGGAATTAGTGTGAGAATAAAGTTGATAACATGCTAGTGTTTCAGTTGTTGCTAAGGAGCACTTATACTAAGTGAAGAATTTTTCAGTTTCCTGTGCTCTGCCAGTGAGGAGATGCAGGAGAAGCTGGGAGGGAGCATGGCCAGGACAGCTGACCTCAGCTAGCCAGAGGGATATTCCACACCATGTACACGATGCCCAGTATGTACCTGGGGGCTGTTGGCTGGGAGGGGCCGACTGCTACTGGGACACTGGTCTGTGAGTGGTGAGCAATTGCACTGGGCATCACTTGTATTTTCTGAGGGTTTCTCTCTCTCCCATTATCTTTCTTCTAATTACAAGTATTATTCTATTTCAGTTATTAAACTGCTCTTATCTTAAACCCACGTTTTTATGGTTTTATTTCTGTTTTTGTGATTTGTCCTGTCCCCACCCCCGTCCTCCCCATCCCACTGTGATTGTCCCATTTAAGAGGCATTTGGCCAACGCCCTTAACATGCTTTAACTTTTAGCCAGCCCTGAACTGGTCAGGCAATTGGACTACATGATCATTGCAGGTCCCTTCCAACTGAAATATTCTTTTCTAATTTTCATTTGCAATTATTTCAGCAAAGACCCCCTGGGACATAATGAAAACAAAACTGACTCAAATAGATTCACAAAACTGACAGAATTGCAGCTGAAGCCAAATTTCTGTGCTTTAAGACAGACTACTTCTCTGTAAGATATTTATTAAATAATTACATCACTGGCACAGACATATTTACACTCCTAATCCTATTATTCTCCTACTGTAGACAGCACAGAAAGAGTCCTGGGGAACAGAATGATAACATCAACTAGTTGGTTTTGTGGTTTTTTTTGTTTGGTTGGTTGGTTGGTTTGGCTTGGTCTTTTCGCCAGGACCATTTCTAGGAAGACTAAGCTATTATTTGTTTCATCTCTGTAACATTTCAGGAAGTTTTCACAAAATAAAGAATTATACAACCTACTGTTCACTTACCCTGCTGTCTCTGTACACATCAAAAACAACTGAAAAGGAAAAAAAAAAAGTTAATCTTAAAAGATACATAATTCCACAGAAGATGTCTCAATCTGAATAGAGACTTGTCTACACAGCACAATCTGCAAAGTCAGTACGTCTAAAGAACTGTAAGCCAGAATTAGGTTCATTTCCAAGAGGGATTTGAAACATTTTAAGAACTAGTGCTAATGCACCGAGAGATCAGCTGCCAGGTTTCTCCACTTAATGCTGGTTTCTTCTGTTGATCTTTCCCCCACAACGAAGAATACTTCATAAAGTCTTAGCCCAGAGAGAAGCTTATCTTCGACATTACTGCTGTTTGGTTTACAGCAGAAGGGAGAAATTTCAAGGAAGGATCAAGACTCCTCTGGGTTAGACACTGCACAAACATTTAATAAAAGAAAGTTCCCACTTGATGGAGGTCAGGGCTTCAGCAGATAACAAGACAAACGTGTTGTAGGCACAGAGGAGTCGGTGGGGGTGCTGAGGAGGTGGTGGCAGTGAACTGGCTGTTTACTGTAACCCTGAGCAGACACAGCACACCTACAGATTATCAACAGCTCTTCCCAACCAGCCTTTGCTACTCGGTGATTGACGCAAAGCTGCCTTGTGTAGCTCCATTGTCGTCCCTCCCTTTGACTTAATTAAGCGTGAATCTTTGTACCTGTGCCTTTCTATTAGCCTCTGTGCGGTATGGTTAAACAAATCTTTGTCTTTCGAGCCAGCCTGGGAAATGGAGAGATAAGCATTCAGGCACCACTGCCTGCAGAAGTCCTACCAGTTGAGCAGACAGAAAGAAAAAGAAAAGCCGGATTTAGAAAAACCTCAGGCAATGCTGTATTGTCATTTCCTTCACTAATAAGGAAGGGAATATTTTAGCTAAGAGATTTCCCAATACATATGGGATAAACTGAACCCAGGATATGACTGAAGAACACTTGAGCCTCTCTGGCTACTCAGGAAGCTGCCCGTCAATAACGGGGATGTTGATTGATCACGTTCATGCCTATAAAGCTACTCAGCAGCTTAACCTTTCATGTGAAGCTGGCTGGGCTAAGGGCAAACCACAACTCAACGGCACCAAAGCCAGTCACCTAACTGGTTTTGACTAAAACTCCAGCACAGCTTTCTGCAGGAGCTCAGTTACGTCAATTGAAAATGTCACTGGAATTAAGTGGTGTGTTTTCTCCAGATGACAAGCTGAGTAAGCCATCTATGCAAAGAGGAGCACAGCAACCCTGGACCTCTCCTCCAGCTGTTCAACTGACCTCGTTGCCTGCCCCGTGTACTCTCATTAGCCATATTTCATTAATGGAAAACTTGCATCTGAGCTTTATTATAATCATCAAATGATGCCTGTCAGCTTAAAGCAAGCCTCTGGCAGCCATGGAGGCCAAGGGCCTTCAGTGGGATCTCCATCTCTGTCAAGGCTGACTGCACATCGGTGACCGGTTTGGGACACTGACAAACACTGAACAGAGAACAAAACTTGAAGTGTTCCCTCTTCTTAGAGGCCACCTCAGAGCAGGCGTGTCATGTGCTGGTGAGACTGTACTAAAACTTTACTAGCAATTGCTCAAAATGGGATGTAAGCCAAGGCTCCACTCTGCAGTAACTATCGATACCTCCAGAACACAACAATAACTTGTATTAAGTAAGAACACTTACTGGGTTCTCATAAAAGATATTTAGAAGGTTCTAACATCATTTAGAAGTATTTATAAAGCATTCATCCATCTGTTATCCTACTGCTCTGACTCTACAGTGCTTCAGCTGCTCTGACTCAACTCCTCCATCTGGACATGCTACCAGACCAACTGGAAAAAGCAGAGCAAACAGCATCAAAACCCCCAGTGAAACAAGAAGTCAGGAAAAAAGCTATAATACCTCTCCTTTTAAAAGCAAACAAACAAGTAAACCCAGATTTTTATTTTTAACAACACATATGCTACCAGACAGTGGATCAAGGGACATGATGGGGGATGAATGAAGGGTGGTAAAAACACACAGAAACCATTTTCTGCATGGCATTTCTCTGCAGATGGACAAGTCACCAGCATTTTGTGCCTAAGAACAAAAGGTTAACTAACTTTCATCCCAGCAGGTCACCCTGAAACCTCCTTTTCCCAGAAGGTAACTCAGATGGCACAGTTTTATGTCCTTACATAAGATGACAATTCAGACCCCTCAGTTCACCAGACAGCAGTTTCAGAGCTTAAATCTAGGCATCAATTTCCAAAAATAATGCCCTGAATTCTTATCTATCAGTTGATTACATACCAACTAAAATTACATTGGAACACAGAGGAGAATTAAAAGACAGTAATCAGAATGTCAAATCTATGACTGATCTTACTTCAAAACTTTAGGGCTATGAACCTACTAAATTAGTGTACTGATTTCCAGACTACTAGTCTTCTCCAAAGCAGTGGTCCTTGAGAACCTCTCTGGACTGAAATAAAGGAACCCCACAGAGTCAAATTATTAAGAATTTTAATGTAACAGACTGGCATTAGAAGATACCCTTTTCAGAAAGTCACACAGGACAGATCTATTTGACTGCTTTAGTGGCTCAGCAAAATAATTAACCACATTCAAACCTAAAGGTTGAGTAGTCAGAGCTTTATATAAGACAACACAACTGACAGATAATTCTCACGTTTACCTATTTTACTAAACTGAAGTTTGGCCCTTGCCAGACCAAATTTAAATTCCTCCACCATACTTTTCACTACTCCTGATCACCCATCACAACAGAACACGATTCAGTTCTCACTAAACTTTGTTGGGAAACTATGTCCAGTAAGATTTGCAAAGGACTCTGCATTTAAAAAACAAGATAATTGACTTGTACTGCTTCGGTTTATCATGTACCATGGCCTTTACTCAGAAGTTTCAGCAGCTGATCTTCTGTGCATCAGTATTCTAGGAGAAATTATTATAACTTCTTGAAGAGAAACTCACAAATCCTTTCTTCAAGGAATACATCAATAATTTAGCAGCAAACACCTGACAACATTTTTATAACCAAGTAGTATTCTTAGCACTGAATGCCTCCTGTCAAGCATTCCCTGCCTCACTTCTCGAGTTTTTATTTAAAAAAAAATCTAAACAAGTATAAGCCTTAAAAAAACCCAGTCATTCAATAAAAATATAGTCATTAAAAAACTAGAAAATAGTCATTCAAAAACTACATTGCTACACATCCTCTAGAGATGCTATGCATCCACAAGAGCTGCAAGACTCTCCCAAGCTAAGAACTAAGCCCTGTGAAAGCAATAGCTATGAAGAGAGAGATGCATATCCACAGACTTAAAATGCTGGGGATGCTATTATTTATTGAAAAGTAATCAGTTTTTCCACTGATCTCCAGCAATAAATGGGAAGTTAGCACAGTGCAACTTGGTGCTGTGGAGGAAACAAGCCTGGCTCAGCAACAGCACAGGGGCAGGAGGACAAGTCTCATTTCTATGGTCTTGCCCTGAAAGATCTTCCAATTTCAAATCCTGCAGTATCCTGCAAAAAAACTCCACAGAGGCAGATCCCTCATTCCTGTTTTTAAGTCTTTGTAGCTATGTGTGCACTATGTATTTAAAAACCTTTAGGAACATCCTTCCCTCCCCCATGCTGCCCTTTCTAATTGAAGCCTTAGGATACTTACAGTCTTCATCCAAGAACTTGTACTGGATGTGTTTCTTGAAAAACTCCTGTATTGATCTGCAGATCTCCTCGTGTTGCTTAGAGATGTGATCGTAGTATTGAGTGTAGTCCCTCTGTGATATACCTGCCAAGAATTTTAGTTATCACAAAGAGCTTTGGGCATGCAAAAACCCCAACCAGACAAAACACAGTTATGAGACACACGTGTTGCAATCTGTATTTCAGAAGACTGGGCTCTCCCAAGTTTCAACCATTATCAATGGCTTACTGTTTGGCTTTATTCTCTTACTCTTAAAGCACTTCCATTAGGAATCTTTTCCTTGAACAGTTCTGCCCTACCTTTTGCAAACCTTATTTTATATGTACACGCTTTGACTATTTTTAGGTGAATTTCAGGAGGAACCTTTACCTGTATTTAAGTTGCTAGCTCCTCTCTTTTCCTTGCAGTTTGATCTCCTCAGTTACTCTGGTCAAAAACGTTTTCTGTTCTGCACATCAGATGTAGGGATCAGAATTTGGACCCATAGAATGGAAGGGGTAGAGGCCAAGGCTGCACATTAGCAAAGACGATGGGTCCTAGCATACCACAAGGATTCTCACTTAACTTATTTATTAAGTGTGGAATAACCTGTACCTGTTTGATAAGGTACTACAGGTGAAACCCTAAATCCTAAAAATCAACAAGATGGCATGCAGTCTAGTACCTTATTTCTCCCACTTGCCCCCCTCAAGGGCTGTTTTGCACATCTGACATTAGATAAACTATTCAGCCACTTCACAAGCTCTTAATTTCAGAGGTGTTCATCTGCAGGACAATAGCTTAGGCTGACATCAACAGGATTATCCACTCCCATGCATGTTAAGTGAAAGGAGTTCTCATACAGGATGTGTCAACATAAGCCACTGCAACACTCTGCAGGACAACTGACAAGTCAAGACCTGCCCCATCAATACAGAATGAATAGCTCAGGCTATTTAGGGAAAGGAAAAGCCAGAAACTCCCAAGAATGATGGATCAATGATGGCAATTTGCTATTGTAAAAAACCAAACAGAGATTAAGTTTTACTGAGACAACGCTGACTGCCTCCAAAGATGGGCTCTTTAAAAAAGTTCATACAAAGTTTATGATGCCAGTGGAACTTTGAATTATTAATACCAATGCAAAGCTCAACTCAGGTCTCAGAACAAAAATGAAGAGGTGGTGGCATTTCAAGGGATGCCGACGTGTAACTGGAAAATCATTCAATACGCTGGGCAAGTATCACTCCTTTGACTGACAGGCTTATTAATTTTAATAGCATGGGAACATGTTGTGAAAAACCTTGGAAGTGCCTTCAGAAATACAGCTGGAGTGCTAGCTAAAAAAAAAAAAAAAAAAAACCCATACTGGTAAATCTATTAGGTTTCAAAATATAGAATGTTTAATTAGCCAGCATACAAATGCTTTAGAGAACCTGAAAGTAAATATCACTAGAAATATATTCTGTAATAAATCTACATTCAAATGTTGAGGGGTTATCATAGTGATGCAGTTGTTCCAGCAGCACATAACAGGACAGGATTCAGCTCTTCCCCCTTCAAGAACCTTTGTCAGTGGCCATTAAGCAATACTGGCTTAATGGAGAATCTCTGCTATTACCAAGATAAACTCAATTACAGAGAACTGTAATAAACCCTGCAACTGGCACTAATGGAGAGAGAAAGGGAAGATGAGCATGGAAGCACCAAGAGGAGCAGCCAAATAAAAGGGCTAAGAGAATGGTATGTGTTGACAGCACCTAATTAGCACATCCCAAAACATCTATGTGCAGCTCCATAGGACACCCAGATCCAGAAACAAAGAACAGGGAGTATGTTCCTAATGATTCACAGAGGTGGGACAGGGTGGAGACACAAATTGCTGACAGCTCCTAACAGGGACAAAAAGGCACATCCAAAACAAGCACAGAGTCACTATGCTGAGAAGCCAGGAGAAAGGACAAGGACTAGGCAGCTAACATCCCTCCACCTCCAGATCTTCACAAGGAACACTGGACAGACCACTTGCATATATTCACCTTGGTGCTTGTGAGTATGTAGGTATGAGACAGACATTGTAAGCAAACTTAGTTTTGTTTTAAAGCAAAAAATCACCTTCCTTCCTACAAAGTCTGGATTAGAGCTTTGCCACATCATGGCTATAACATTTCCTTGTCAGAAGGGTATAGGCAGAACAACTCAATTTTGTTAAAGACAAATGCGTATCAGTCTTGTGCTATGTACATTTCTGTTCATCTTTAAAGATTCTGTGGTAGACCACACCAAAAATTGATTCAAACTCCTGAATAGTATTTAAACTGAATCTGAAGCCCTCACTTCACACACCAGCATGTGTACTAGATGTCTAAGTTCCTGTTATAGTCAGAAGGCAACAGTCAATACATCTAGAACAGTATAATTCAGCTAAATTTACTCTAGAGTTGCCTAAAATATGTGCTTTAGCACAATCTGCCTATACTCCAGCTGTCATAGGTCTCCCAAAGCACCCACTAGCTCTTTGCATGCTGTGGATACCCCAGCTGCTCAGTGCCACTTGAAACATTTTATATTTAAGTTTTTGAACCAGAGTTCAAGAGGGAAAGA